TTAACTGCTTCCAAATTCAGGGGAGAAGGTTTGAGAAATATTACAAGAATTTAGGTGGTCTTGCTCAGTCAGTACAGATTTCACAGGCTGTGTTCAGGAGCCAGAAGACCAGGTGGGATGAATGATTCAGTTTGAAATGGTTGATAAGATTGTGACCTGACTGTATGCCTTGCATATTCTTCCATGCATTAACTCCTAGGCTCCAATACAGAAATGGTTAAAGAGAAACATGTAAATTGTAACTCTGAAGAAGGAACGAAACATCAAGATTACCTAGGATCTGTGTTAGTTCAAGTTTGGCAAGTTTTGTCAAGCTCATTCTTGACTTACAGTAGATGTCTTTTTGCATCTGGGAACCCTGATGGGTCATATCTCACTACAAGCATTGAAGCTATTGCTCATAGGATTTATAGTGACATCTAGGGGATTTTTCCTGTATTTACTGTCTCTGTAACATTGGTACTCCGGGATTGTCATCCATGGGTTTTTGCTCTGTGATTGGCTATGGTTAAATTGTCTGTCTGAATTTATTTGTTTATAATTTGTTGCGGGGGAGGGGGAGATGAGATTCCTCCTCCTGGCAAGTTTTGCAAGCCTCCCACTTGTTTTCCAGAATAATAACCAAGCCAGTTTGGTGTAGTGGTTAACTGTGTGGACTTTAATCTGGGAGAACCGGGTCTAATTCCCCACTCCTCCACTTGCAGCTACTGGATGACCTTGGGCAAGCCATAGTTCTGTCAGAGCTGTTCTCTCAAGGACAGTTCTGGAAAGAGCTTTCTCAGCCTCACCTACCTCACAGGGTGTCTGTTGTGGGGAGGGGAAGGGAAAGGAGTTTGTAAACCACTCTGAGATTCAGAGTTAAGGGTGAGCTATAAATCCAGTCTCTTCTTCTACAGCAGAGGAGAATTCAAGGTTTATGACAGCATACCTCTGTTTAAAGTTTAACCACAGCCAAGTTGGGGATAATGGTTGCTTGTATTTTTTTAAAATATTTTTTTAATTTAAATATAGGGGGAAAACAGACATAAACATCAAGTACACACCCCACTCCCCATATAGAAAAACAACCTACAACCTACAGTGTACACATAACAACAAAGGGAAGGAAAGGGGGGGAAAGTAAAAAGCAACCAAATTGAGGTATTGGTAAAGACCTCAACATTCGGCATAAATACAAAGAGAAGGAATTCATTTCCCTTCTTTTTTCTTTTCCTATAAACATGCATAATTAATGTATAGTTACAACATAATTAAAGTATAGAGAGAGGCTTACTTAACTTTATCCCACAATCTGAAGAAGGGTTTAAACATACTTTGAGTATTGTTCTAAGTTGTGTATGAAATAAAATTGTACCATGTTTCAAAAAAGTCTACAGTTTTGGCTTTGAATTTGATTATTCTAATTTAATCTGATTTCATTCTTGGAGTAGCCATTTGCTTGAAGTGTGTGATTTAGATTATTTAGTTCATCATTGAGAAAGTGCTGTTCACATATCCTTCTTGCACTGTCTACATGGTATTCTGAGTTATGGCAGATTGCAATAGCTGAAAAATTAACTATTTCAGCTATTGCAATCTGCCATAACTCAGAATACCATGAATGTAATGTTAATAATTCTGCGGCTTTCCAACTTTTAGCAACTGTCCTGCGCACCGCCATTAACATAAACACTATTAGTCCTTTAGAAGTCACCTTTTCATTTTGTTTCTCCCATATGGTTAATAGGGCCAAGCTGGTGTAACACAGATGGTTTGACGTGTAATTTTTGCCATTTCTGCAAACATTTTCTCCCAGAACTGTGACACTACTGGGCATAGACACCACATATGAATATAATCACCTTATACTTTCTCCAAAGACAATAGTGAACCCTTAGTGTAGAAATATAGCCACAAACAATATCCACCAAGGGAAGACCATCTACAATTCACAACTATGTTCAAAACTGTATATTAGTTGCTGTAGATTTTCCGGGTTGTGTGGCCGTGGTCTTGGCATTGTAGAACCTGACATTTTGCCAGTAGCTGTGACTGGCATCCTCAGAGGTATAACACAGAAAGATGGAGTACTCTCTGTGTCAAGGTGAGAAGAAAATGGTAGTTGGCTGTTGAAATTCTAATCTTATCTGTAGTGCTGTTGTCAGATGTAGAGCCTTTTGTGTTTTTCAGGACAGGAAACCATGCCCTATTTATTTTTAAACTCTCTTCTTTCCTGTTGAAATTGTGTATATGTTTATGAATTTCAATGTAATCTGTGTAATCTGACAATGTAATCCCTGTGTAATCTGACATGGTAATTGGAAGTGTTGTCCAGCCTTTCAGTGTCTTGGAACAAAATACTGTGTCCTGTTTGAGTTACGCAATGTTCAGCTACTGCTGATTTTTCAGGTTGACCCAGTCTGCAGTGTCTTTCATGTTCTTTTATTCTTGTCTGAATGCTACGCTGTGTGGTCCCAATGTAAACTTGTCTACAACTGCATGGTATGCGGTATACTCTTGCAGAAGTGAGGGGGTCTCTTCTGTCTTTTGCCGATCATAGCATCTGTTGTATTTTTCTGGTAGGTCTGAATACTGTTTGTAGGTTGTGTTTTTTCATTTCCCATCTGATCAGTGATTCCTTTGATATATGGCAAAACACTTTTTCTGTGGGAGACTGTTTTTCCTCAGTTGTTTGTTTTACCTTTGGTTTAATCGCTCTTCTGATTTCATTCTTGGAGTAGCCATTTGCTTGAAGTGCGTGATTTAGATGATTTAGTTCGTCATTGAGAAAGTGCAGTTCACATATCCGTCTTGCATGGTCTACTAATGTTTTGATTATGCCTCTTTTTTGCGAGGATGGTGAGTGGAGTTTTTGTGTAAATAACAGTCCATTTGAGTTGGTTTTCTGTAGATCTTGTGACCTAATTGAAGGTTAGTTTAGCGGATGGCCATGATATCTAGAAATGGGGGTTTACCTTCAACTTCTTTTTCCATGGTGAATTGTATGTTGGGGTGGATGCTGTTGAGGCGGTTTTTAAAAAAAAAGCATCGCAAGTTGCCTTGTAGGGAACTCTAGGATTCCATTGAAGCTTTTGTGCTGTGCCTATGTTATTTTGGAAATCGCAGTGAGACACATTCTTTCTGTGTGTTTTGAATTGATATATGCATCATGCAGTCAGTCTTGTCTTTCTATGTATATTTATGATTGTTTCATAGTTCCGTCTTACCAGATGCTGTTGAAGATCATTGAAACGCCTGATTTATACCTGGGAGAGGCGTTCGGCTGTTATTCTTTTCACAGTGGGAGTCTTCTGTTGCAGTTACTTTCTGTTTGGAGGTCTATGGACACTATTTATGCATGGAATTACAGAAGAGCCTACTGTTGGTCTTGAATATCTTTCTTGTTTAAACTATGTTTAATTGTTATGAGCATATTGTTGGATCTATGTTTATATACTCTATTGGGTTGTGACCACTAACCCTTCTTTGTATTTCAATGAATATAATATATAGTTTTGAACATAGTTGTGAATTGTAGATGGTCTTCCCTTGGTGGATATTGTTTGTGATTACACTTTCTCCAGCATTTTTTATTATTTGTGTTGGTTACTCTTGCAAGGTGAACTGGACTGAAATACCACCTGTGTAGTAATTTAAAGGAATTCTCTCTAAGAGCTATTGATATTGTTTTCCTTGTTTGGGTAAACCATATCTTATTCTAAATATTTTGCTCGATGTTTATTCCAGTATCTTTCTCCCATGTTATTTTCAACCCATTTAGTGAACCTAAATCTGTCTCAATTAAATAAGTGTATATTTTAGAGATTATTCCTTTTAGACTTGTTGTTTAGATTACTCCTTTTAGACTTGAAAGCTGTTCAAATTTCAACAGCTTTCTAGTCATGGTTTGCCTTACCATAGAGTTTACAGTTAGGTAATGCAGTTGATACAGCGAAAACCAATTCAACTCTCCTTGCAATTTTTCTTTTAATTGCATCACAGTAAAGGGAATCCCGTCTATGTAAAGATCTCTCATTCTATAAATCCATTTTTCTTTCCATTTAATATAGCATTCTGGTTTATCCAGACATGAGAAACTGGGATGTAGTATGATAGGAATCAGTGGGGATATCTCTGGGATCAGTTTATTTTTCCATTTAACCCAATTTTTAATGTAGTATATAGTAAAGGGTTCTCTACCCACTTAATGTCTCTTTTTTCCCCTCCAAAAATTATTTTCTCAATTTAATTCAGATGTTTCCCATCTATTTCCTTGCTCACCCAAGACTTATCAGAGGTTTAAATATGACACCAAGGCTCTCAATTGGTTTGCCTCATAATATTTGCTCATATTTGGTTCTCCCCATCCTTCTTGATCTGCCCTTTTGTATCTTATAGCCTTCATAAGTCTTGGTCTTTTACCTTGATTTATAAAATTGGTAAAGATTTTTTGCCAGCTGACTAGGTCCCTTGATGTGATATATAGGAAGCGTTTGAAAAAAGTAATTTAATTTTGGGAGTGCCATCATTTTGATAGCGTTGACTCTACCCATGATTGTCAACTGTAACTGGGACCATCTTTTAATATCCTTATTTGTAGAACAACCGGATGGAAGTTTAGCTGCTGTAATTTATTTAAATTCTTTGGGATAGTAACTCCCAGATATTTGAATGGTTGCTTGTAAAATCTATATCGCACTACCCGCTATACGCTCATATTATTTGTGTGCCCATCACACCAAGTCCTCATGGAAAAGTTCCTGAATTGCATCAGGCTTGCATCAGGTGTCAAAGAGCAGGATCCAGTAGCAGAACAGATCTGCAGCATCCAACCCAGGATTTTTTGTGACTTGTAATACAGCTTGTCTGTTTACAGTATAGAGTATAACTGTCTGTTTATAATAGCTACAACTATACAAGATTTTCTGACAGCCATAAGCAGATCTGTTTAATATTGCACCAAAAGTGGATGAATAAGTCCCTTAAAGCAGTCTCTTTCTGATGGTTTACTTTTTATCCAGTTTTCAGGTTGGCGATTTGGTTCTCATTATTTTGGATGAACGCCATGACAACTATGTATTATTTACCGTTAGCCCAACTTTGTATTTCTTGCACTCAGAATCTCTTACTGCACTGGACCTCAAACCAGGTGAGTGTGGTAAGTGTCATAAGAGTACAGTGTGTTCTCATGCATTTGTAATACTCTTAAGATAGAATGTTTAATGTCACATAAGATTTTAATTTTAATGATTATGTGTGGGCATGCACATATGTGTAAATCAACACAATCAAGTTATATTTAATTGTAACACCCAGTAACATTCTGTGAATCATTCCAGGTTAGCCTGGGACACAAAAGTGTGGATCCAGAGAGTCACAATGAAGGATGATAACTTCTAGTGCTGTTCTGTGAACACTTATAGAACAACTTAAGTTCTTGTTGGATTTGTTTTAATTTGTTGGCTTTTGCTATTTTAAATAGTATATCTTAAAGTTGATGATGTAAGATCCCTAAAGACCTATTTTAGGGGAGAGGCATTCTATAAATGCAATAAATGGGGGTGGGGTGTCTTCCAGGCATAGATAATCACCCCATGCTATCAGCTTTGTGTTCTGTGAAACATGTACGTCCATGTTTTGCAGAGTGCTTGTTTCTCCTGGCTTGACACTAATCTCAGACTATATAAAGAAAACTAAAAGAGGCTGTTAACGTAGTCATAGACAATTTTCATACTGCTTGGTGTAGTGGTTAAGTGCGCGGACTCTAATCTGGGAGAACCAGGTTTTCATTCCCCACTCCTCCACTTGCACCTGCTAGATGACCTTGGACAAGCCATAGCTCTGGCACAGCTGTTCTTGAAAAAGAGCAGTTTCTGTCAAGAGCTCTCTCAGCCCCACCTACCTCACAGAGTGTCTGTTGTGGGGAGGGGAAGGGAAAGGAGTTTGTAAGCCGCTCTGAGACTCCCTTGGGTAGTGAAGGGCATGGTATAAATCCAATCTCTTCTTTTTCTTCTTCTTAAAGTATAATTTTTGTACAGTAATCATGCCATGAGTAATGGGAATTTTTCATGTAGCTTCAGGTGCATCTAGAAGACCCTGGGTGCTAGGGAAAGTAATGGAAAAGGAATATTGCCAGGCTAAAAAGGTAAGGAAAATTAACTGAAAATTGATTCAGAGGGTTCAGTGATCTTTACTCCTGTTGAGTTGTACCTGAATCCTGTTTAAAAGCATGGTGCATGAGTAAGTGATGGCCCCAGCCTTACTTGGGACAATTTTTTGCGGCCACAGGCCTAGTGAGGGGGAGAGAGAATTTCCCCTCGACCTGCAATATTGAAAGTAATAAATTCAGACTTCAGCTTTCAATTCAGCTTTGAATTTGCTCCTCATTCCACTTCCATATATCATAAAATAGTCCAATTTAGATACCTCTACTGCTCTTTATTAATGAAATTGCTCTTGATCAACTTTGAAAATTAAATGCACTTTGTGATGAATATGGATATTGTTTTATCTCAGGGAAGTTACTTGGGAAATTTATTGAGGTTCTGACTAAAGCCAATCACCTAATGTTTATCAAGAAGCAAGGCATCACAGAACTATGCTGGTTTCCATCAATTGCTGCTCAAAAAGAGCTGTCTAGTTCCCATCTCTCCCTTTTTAGTACTTCATTTATTTAGAACTCTCCTCCTTTTAGATGAATTTTGCTGTATGCACCTCCAGAGAGCAATCTTTTTCCTTGCATGCATGAATTCACTTGCTACTCAGAAGAATTGGCCACCAAGAATGTGCAAAGGCATTTGATTCATAGTCAACTACCATTATTCTGCTAGTGCAAAGTAGTGCTATTGTTAGTGATGGTGTTCTTGTGCATAAATAATCTATATATCAGCTGGAACTGGACTAGAATATCGGCTTCAAACCATGAACTGTCACAAAGCCATCAGCACAGCAGCTAATGTTTGGAAAGTAGAATTATGTAATCTTTGAAGTCTGGTTGTGCTACATTATTCTAAATAATCCTTTTTGTTTGTTTTTTTGCTCAGGCACAAAACAGATTTAAAGTTCCTCTAGGTACAAAATTCTACAGAGTAAAAGCGGTGCCATGGAACAAGAAAGTATAACACATGATGGAAACTCAGCTCATCACCATTTTTTCTGGCTTGGCCTTCAGTGCTCATTTATCACTCCAAGTAGCAGGCCATCATCTTTTTATACTGAGGTCACAGGACAATGCTCCCCAATACACAAGTTTTCCCCCCCTTTTTTAATGTGTTATATTTTAGAAGCAAGAGTTTCATCAAAATGTCTGGCCCAGCTGTTCCAGGTTTTTACCCAGATAACGTTAGATGTGTGGACCAAATGAGTTCATTTTTCTGAAAGGGCAAATCCAGTTTTATCATGGCTTGTTTACTAGCCATGTTAATTGCCTGTTAAATATACATTAGTTCTTATTAGCTGTTTAAATGTTAGCTACCATTATTACCAGCATTCGTCCTTTTGTGAAATCATTATCAAAGTACTTGCACTCTTTAACAAGTTCTTTATAATAGGTATAAATTCATCAGCTATCTAAAGAGGTGTGTTCATTGCATGCGGATAATCATAATTTTCTTCAACATGAGTTTGCCTCAGTAAATGAAAGGTAACAACTGCAACTTGCTTCATTGCATTAAAAAGCCCTTTAATATAAAAGATACAAAAGAAGAAGAACATTTATTTGATGGACTGATAATGAATCAGTTATATGTAAATCTGCAGTCTTCAGAAGAACTTTTGAATGTTTGATCAAAGATTTAGAAGGGAAGTAGCTGTGCTCTTGTATTTAAATGAAGCACCTGGACCTTCCCAAACCACAGAAAAAGTCTTGTATTAATCTATTTAGAAAAATCATATTGATGGAATTGTATTTCATGGCCGAGATTCAGGAAAAAAAAGAATCCATTGTACATTAACTATAAAAAGGTCATTTAAGTAACAAATTATTGTATTGTAAAAGACATGTAGAATTTTAAAACAATAAAGATTTGAAACTGTAAATGTCTGAATGGTCTGCATGCTTTTTAAATGCCAATGTGGTACAGCAGTTCTATCCAAGACTGTTCCTGTAAATTTAAAATTTAAATGTATAAGAATTTTTATGAATATAAAATGCCTGTATTATTCCAAAAGAAGCAGCATTCTACAATTTTCAGTGTATGATTGAGGTAATAATTTAAATGACAGTTCATGTTTGCACAGCAAAGCATATAAATAAAATGGCTCAAATAAATTGCTTGGGACAAGGCAAAAGAGTGTGTTCTAAAAATTTTCTGGTCTGGAAACTGTCATTCTAATTGTACCTTGTTACTTTGTGCTATGGAAGAATTGTTATTTTCTGCTTATTTTTATGACTGTATGGTGGGGGTGGAAAGATTAAAAAGTATCTGCTTCCACAATTGAACTTGTCTTGCTGTAAGCATCAACGTAATGTAATAGTTGAACTGCTGGACTTGGTCTGGAAAGTTTGAATCTCTGATTGACTTCAGGTCAGTTACACGCTCACTCTAGTGTACTTCACAAGATTTGGGTGGAAGAATCATCCTCTTATGTTACTCTGAGTTTCTTGAAGGAAGAGAGGGATCCTTCAGCAACGTTGTAAACAGATACATAATGGGGCAGATGTGTTGCCACAATTCAGAAGAACACAGAGATAAAATCAGTACAACTGTAAGTGTGAAGCTATGTTTCCAGTAGGGTGACAAGTGCTTAAAGGAGCTGAACAAGTATGTTATGTGTTTGAAAGTTCACTATAATGTCTGAACAGGAAGGCTTGTATAGGTGAGAGAATCGGTATCTAAAGCCTTTATATCCCCTACATGAAGCCCTGTGAGTGTAAGTACATAACAATGAAAGTGGAAAATTGGAAGCACATGCACATCCAGCTTGGGAGCAATTCTCAACGTCTGAAGCCAGTTGCTTAGACGTCATGTCCTAAATTTCTCTCAAATGGAACATATGTTCCTATAAACTACTGAAATGCCAGCTACTTATGGAACTTTGTTCATTGCTTACACCATTATCTCAGAAGAACTTTAGGAAGTAACTGTTCAAGTAGTATTAAGTCATACTTCTAGAATAGACATTCAATAATGGCCTTGGTTTTTCAGGAATATTTGTCATCTGTTTCATTTTATAACCTTGGTGTGTATCTAAAATGGAAATTCTGTCAAACAAAACCCTAACATATTCAGTAATGATTCTGAACAGTCATCTGAAAAATATTTAGTTTACATACTTGCTAGATACTGCAATCTGGCCAGCTTATGGAAGTATGACTGCTATGTCGTGCCACCTTGTTTCATCAGGCTCCACAACAACAAAACCAGATCTGTATTTTCATAATTTGAATAAACAGTGCACGCACAAGGAGGGAAGATATACTAAATGGCCCAATAGTTCCTTTCCATTTTGGATGTGTCATTTCTGTGCAGTTTTTATACTTGTCAGTCCCTTGTCTGACAAGTTCGTAACTTTTTTCCTCTTTGGACAAAATTGGTTGCTAATCAGCTCAACTTCATTAGTCTCTTCAGAACAAAATACCAGAAAATAATGAAAACTCACTGGGTGATATTGGGCCTAGCTGTCTCAGTCTAATTTACAGTGTTGTCATGAGATAAAATTGTTGAGATTATCTTCTGATTTTCCCCTAATTCTCTGGTAGTTTTCTCAAGTACTTACTGTTATTTTGTTGTTGTTTTGGCTCTTTAAGAAGGAATGAGGGATTAGAGGTTATCCTGTAATATTTCCATGGCTGCACAATAGCAAGTGGGCGGCTGGAACTAAGGGAATGCAGCAAGAGTTCATAACATTTAAATTAAGATAAACATTAAAAATTTATTTTGAAATATCACCTGGTCCTCCATATGCATTTTGCTGTTTGCATTGTAACAGGCAGTTATTGTGGTAATGTTTTGTTTGTGATTAAAGAAATAACCTCAACACCTAAAAGAGGGGCCTTTACTTTTAAGAAGCCTGAAAGAGCGGTACACTGTACCACAATCTTAGAAACTGAGGCTGCGATCATATGCACAATTAGACCTGACATAGGTGTGAATGCTGGGCGGATTTAAAGGGCACGATCAGACAGCATCTGGGAAGCGCCCCGGAGCTGTAGGCAACCCATTCTGCTCTGCCGCAGAAGCAGAGTTAAAAAACACGGGGGGAAATCCGGTAGTAAATAGGTTGCGACGGGCCACAGATGGACTTTCCCCTGTCTGATCGCTCCAGTGCACTCTCATGGCGTCAGGATGGTCTGATCAGGCCATCTCAACTCCATGCTGTTGTCCCCCCCCCCTTCGCAGTATGCGCATCATTGCGAACTCCATAGGGAGCCCTCAGTGTGGAGGTGCAGTTCATCGATTCCTCATTCAAGCGCAAAAACGACACAAAATTAAAAATGACTCACCTGCAGTTGCGTCTGATCACAAACTGATGGGCTGCGCCCGCAACTTCAAAGGAAGGTGTGATCGTGCAACTGCGGGTCTAGTTTCCCCCCGGGAGAAAATCCCCTCCTTCCCGCCCCCCCCCCCCCGTTTTTTCTGCTGCGTGTGACTGCACCCTGACTTTTGATGGTGAAGTATATATGTGATAGAAGTTTGTGACTATACTGAATTAGATCCTTTATCTGACCAAGCAAGAGGAGTCACAATGGGCAGCTCAGTGGTGGGGTGCTCCAAAGCACTACTCCAGCTAACCCATTTAAGTTCCCATCTCCAAGGTAGGATGGGATGTTTGTTTACAACGGGAACAGAGAGACAGGAGTGGGATGTGTCTGCAGGCTACTGATAGATAGGGCCAGGGCTCTTTTTGTAGAAAAAGCCCAGCAGGAACTCATTAGCATAATAGGCCACACCCAACAGCAGGAACTCATTAGCGTATTGGGCCACACCCCTGACAGCACAGCTCATTAGCACATTAGGCCGCACCCACATGTTACCAGAAGTATGGTTATCCAGCCACACCCACCTTTTGCTTGTTATTCTGTTTACCTTGTTTGTTGTCAAAACCCAGGGCCTTTTTTTGTAGCAGGAACTCCTTTGGATGTTAGGCCACACACCCCTAATGTAGCCAATCCTAATGAGTTTCTGCTGTTGGGTGTGGCCTATTATGCTAATGAGTTTCTGCTGGGCGTGGCCAACTCGGGAGCCAGCCGAAACTCCGTTCCTGTGCGTTCCTGCCCCAAAATAGCCCTGGATAGGGCTTTATTTTCTTTACTGATTCCCATGCAGCATTTGGCATTTTGGTGTCGCTGCTGTCTATTGCTTTTTAGTTTGTTACACTAAATTGTTAAGACTTTGTGCATTTTACTAGTTGCTAGTTAACAGGGCCAGATATGATGTTTCTAGAACCTTCTGATTGTTCAGGAGGACTAAGGAGTTGCTTGCTTCTTGGCATTTTTGGTTTCATAGTCGTGGTTTGCTTTTTGTTGTTGTTGCTAAACACATGGAGAGGGAAGCAGGAAAGAGTAATATGATGTTCTGGACCAGTATCATGGCCAGAAAGATTGCCTTCCTCCTAGAGTTTCTGTGCAGACTTGTCAGAGGCTGGCCTTGCCCAGATTGGTACCACATCACTTTGTCCTTCCAGTGGAAGCCAATGGATGAAACTGATTTCAGCACATTTGGTTCTCTACCCATTCTTCTCCTACCAGGCATTCTTCTCTGAATACTGTTCTACAAAGAAATTAGGGTCTGTTTCTCCCAACTGTTCTGTGTGTGGTAGTGTTCCTCTCCTTTTTCTGCTGTGGACAAAATCTCCAATAAAAGGAGGAGGATATGATGTTTTGAAAAGGAGATGTCTGTTTTGTGTATAGCTCTATGCTCTCTCATAAGATCTAGAAGAAATTACACAAGCAAGCTGTATGAAGAAGCAAGTAGGGCACATAATGTACCAATTTCATAGGAGCAAATGAAAATAATTTACAGATTTTGGTAGCCGGTGGAATCTTCCCACTAACTGAATGTGTGTTCTCTAAAGCATCTAAGTTCAAATCAAGTGCTTAGAAGCAATTGACTTGTTGAACCTTCAATCCTGGCTGTAGTTTGCGTTCATATCTGTGTGTGTGTGTGGTCCCCTACTAAATCACATATTGTACTTTAAATGTATTAGAAGACAAATGCTATTTCCTCAGTGTGTGTGAGTGCACATGCATATATCATTTGAGTAATAATTTAAGATGTCTGGCCTTACATGTACATAACCCCCACTATACATAATAACATTCTGCTGGACAAATAAAACTGCAATAAAAACTGTTAAAACTGTTTCAATCTACAGGTTGAAGATTCAGCTGTCATGATGACAATGCAGGTTCTGTGTGCATGTATGGTATTGTTGAATTCCAGTCTCAAGAACACTTCTCTGCTAGGAATGCAACATAGAATATATGCCATGATACAGCACTACAGTTGCAGTTCCCACAAACACTGCTAGACATCCTGTGACCAAGTGCTGATGTTAGCAGATGAGCTGAATATTTGCTTTTATGTATTTATGTTTGCTGACACGCACTCACTGCCATGGACTCTGACTATGAATCCCTATGGGTTTGGGAAAGCTGTGTGCCCTGAATGATGCAACTGCTTCACCTGAGAGCTGCCCTGCCTGCACTTTATGCTAATGAGATTTGCACTCACACAGCCCCAGCCTGAGGAAGAAGAAGGCATCGCCATAGTGGGTCAGCGCAAATGACAACTTTTATGGTTCTAACCACCATGCATAAGCTGGAAGGAGACACATAACCCTTGTTATCTGATTTGCATCCAAAAAGACAGTTTCCTGCTGAATGGTCGTTTTATGGCTTGGGACCAAGCTACATTTATTTACACATCAAAGGTTGCCTTGGTACCAACTTCACACCTTGACCAGATGCATCCCCTGAGTTAAAGGTTTAGATTTCAATATTGCCCACTCCTCCTAGGTAGGCACGTCATTACTGAATACCCCAATAGTGTTAAGTCCTGGGACGGACCATAGGTAGGAGGGACAAGGAGGATGGCATCAATGCCAGCCCCCAAGAGCCCCCCTATATAAAGTGAGGTTCAACAGTTTGAACCCCACTATCCATCTTCTCTCCTAAGCTATTTACTTACAGCCCTGCTGTATAAGTAACTCTTTGTTCTTACTGACCTCGTGGACTGCAGCCACAAAGGTCCACATGTGTTTAGCAGGTTCTAACCGTGTGCATATAGATTTCTTATAGTTATTCTAGTCTTCTTC